AAAGGATAATTGGTATAATGTTTCTATATGTTCAAGAAAGTTAAATTACTGTGAAACTTGGAGATCCGAATTATTTGAAATTATCGATTTTGTCAAAAAAAGATGTTGGAGTTTTTACTCCACTGGATCTAAATTTAGACATACTTGGTATTATGTTTTTATATGTTCAAATTGTATTTACCCGTATTGGTATGCAAGCTGTAGTTACCGAACTTTGTTTGGACATATATATAAAGCTCAAATCCATTTCCATTATTGGTAAGTAGGATAAGCAACCGGCTTTATTAACCTCACAAACTATATAACCAATTTAGTTTTATCGCCGAGAAATTTTGCTCATAGCCATATCAAACTCTTTGAAGGCTTTGTGGAATTTTATTTTATTAAATGTATATTTGATGTGTCACAATAAAAATAAAAGAGGGGAAATTAGCACTAATGACCAACAAAAAAAAACTATAATTCAATAACTAACTAATTTCTTAAAATCTAATGGCTTAGATTTTGCCACATATGCATTTTTTCTTAGTTATTGTATTATAAATTTTTTTGTTGGTTATTCACCCAATAAAGAGTTTTGACATATTAAAAAAAAAAAAAAATCTCTAGTCAGTTTTTTGAATCAAGTAATTTCCGAATGTTCTAATTATATGTGCTTAACGGTAGCTATGGTCTTGTTCGCCATTCGCTAATATAGTTTGGTTATTGCTTTAGTAATAGGGATAGATTTAGTGTGTGGATATTTGCCCCAACTTTTTCAACACATTTGATGATGAAAGTTTAGTTTGATCTTCTTCATTTTTCGTTGGGCGTTTCTATTTCCACTTGTTAATTAAATGGGTTCGCTTTCAAAACAAAAACAGCACATTTTCTTATTTTTGTCAAACATCTTTGTAAAGTATAAACGCATACGGAAAGATCCAAGTTAAAGTTCCTGGTGACATTCACAAGAAACAAATGATCTGCAGAAAACAACCCAATAAATTTTGCTAAATAAAATTTTGTTTGAGTTTAGAAACTCTAACAATTATCTGATAAAAAAAAAAAAGATATTGCCCTTTTGTCTTTATTTTCGTAAACATGACATTCAAAACACTATACACAAACAGTCATGTCGAAAAGTTGAATTATATATGTGATCTTGAAGTTTGATCCTTGTCTAAAACTAAATTGAAATATATGCTTTGGAAACTACTTATGTCATATTTTTGATTTCTTAGAAAATTACATGTGTCTACAACAAAAATAATTCACTCAATTCCTTAACACTATGGTACAAAAGAGTTTGATTTTGCAAGGTAGGTATGATGTGATGTAGTTATAAGGCAAAGTCACCAATCACGATTTGGTGATAGAATTCAGATTTTTTTCCTCAAATATTCTTCAATTTAAAAAACTATTAAAGGGACAACTCCTAACGACAAAATGCATAAAACGTATATATTAGAACTAATATTTAATTTGAGAAGAGTATTTTCCCAATTTCCCTACGTATTCATTTTCCAATTCAAAAACTATAAAAAGGACAGCTCCTAAGGACAAAATGCATAAATTAATATTTTAACTAAGATTTTTTTATTAAAAAATATTTATTTCTCTCAATTTTTTTCCTACAAAGTCCAATTTTCTTCCCAACACCAAAATAGACAGCTCCAAGAGAATAAATGCGTTAAAAATTGAGAAATTTTGAGAAATACCACTTTTGAAGTGTTACTTTTCAATAATGCCACATTTTAAAAATCTATGTAAAAATATCAATTTTTCAAAATTATTTATTCATTATATTATTTATGTTTGAGTTAAATATGTTGTATTATGGTTTAGTTTCGACGGTTTATGATTTGTTAGGGGTCAAACATTCTTTAGGGTTTAAAATTTTAAGATTTAGGTTTGAAAAATTCATAATTAGTGGCATTTTTGCAAATGAACTAACTATTGTGGCATTTCTGAAAAGTGGCATACTAAAAGTGTCATTTTTGCAATTGTACCTTAAAAATTAGAATTAGATATTTTTCATGAAGTTTTCTTTTTTGCCCTAATTTCCTATAAATTAAGTTTCCAATCCAAAAACTATAAAAGGGACAGATCTTAACGACAAAATGAATTAAAGAATATTAGAATTTAGAACTAAGATTTTTTTTTTTTTCGAAGAAAAAAGAGTTTTCTCCTTAATTTTCCTACAAACTCCAACTTCTTCCAACACCAAAAATGGACATGCTCCAAACGAAAAAAATGCTCCCAAATATTATAAATAAGATTATTTTCTACAAAGAGTTTTCCCCCAAAATTTCATACAAATTCAGTTTCCAAAACAAATATCTCAACATGGCAATACCTCAACCACAAATAGAAGAAATTAACTATTGTAAAATGAGAAATTTAGATTTTAAACGAATTTATATAATAGTAAATGTCTGCTAATTCCACAAAAGTACAACCAAAGAGAGAGTCACAAAAGAGTTGCTCATATCTCTAAACTGTGTAGGTTCCATGTCTGCAAATAATCTGACTCTACCATGTGGTACTTAGTACTTACCTTCCCACAACAACTCATCAAAGTCTTTAGCACCACAAGCAGACAAATATTCCTCCAATGAAATTTGAGCCACAAAATCTTGATTTTAGATAAATTTTTAATGTTTGCCCAAAAAAAAGATAAATTTTTAATAAACATAAGTTTTTAATTTAATTTTATTTCTCCCCACCATCATGTTCTAAGGCCATTAGAGGAGACCATTGTCTTGTGTCTTTCAATTGATTACTACTCTTTGCAGTTTTTTTTTTAATGTCACATTTGAATTGTGAGTTTTTAAAGTAAAGCAAGAAGCCTCTCTCTGTGATAACTGTCAGTGTCATATTCTCTAATCACAGTTTCTTCTTTTTTAGGAGAAGTGAATGTGTTTTTTCTTCCAGATTTAGAGAGACTAAAGAAGTCATTTCAAGGTGTTTCTTGTTTGTAATTGCCCCTAAAATTGGTGGAGACTCTCTCATGTTCTATGAATGAAAATGACCATAGGAGAAATGATTTGATTACACATAGTACATGAGGCAATTCATGTCCATGTCACAATAATGGAAGAATTTAATCCTTTCTGCTTGTTTCTTCCACTGATTCGACACCCAATGGAAAGTAGGTTTTAATAATTTGGCTCTAAAAG